TACAGACTAACTCGAAGAGACACCAAGAGAACAATAAAGAAATCCAAAGAGGATTCATGGGAAAAGTATGGTGAACACCTAACACAGCTATGTACAGAATCATCAAGAGACTTTTATAAGAGTGTGAAAGCGATGCGATTAAGAGAAGAAAGCTTCAATCCAACATCAGTCATAAATGATAAAAATGGAAAACCTTTATTCAGCCAAAAAGAAATTTAAAAAAGATGGGAGGAATATTTTAAAGAACTTTTGAACCCGTCGGGAGTACATGAAACAGCAAAATTCCATTCAAGGGCTCCAGATCACCTAGAACCACATATCCTGCGGGATGAGGTAAAGAAAGTTATCAAAACAAGTAAAAGACACAAAGCAGCTGATATCGACGGAATAACAACAGAAGTCATCCAGGCTGGAGGGGACACTATGATCACCTGGCTGGAGAGAATTTTCAATAGAGCATGGGCAGAGAGAAAGGTACCAGTGGATTGGCAAAGATCAGTTGTAGTACCTATCTGGAAGAAAAAAGGAAACAAGAGAGAATGTGGAACTTATAGAGGAATATCTTTACTAAGTCATGTGGGGAAAATGTATGCAAAGATCTTAGAAGGTAGGATAAGAGCAAAGGTTGAACCTCTACTGAGTAAAGCACAAATTCGGTTTCAGGAAAGGGCGAGGTTGCACTGATGCCATATTTGCACTAAGACAAGTCTGTGAAAGACACTCGAAATACGATAAAGAGCTGAACGTGGTCTTTGTAGATCAAGAGAAGGCATTCGACCGTGTGGACAGAGATGTGCTGTGGAGAATTCTTGACGATTACGGAGTGCAGGGTCAATTATTTAGACAACATCAAGCCCTCTATGAAAAAAGTGAAAGTGCAGTAAGAACATCTAGTGGTCTTTCTGAATGGTTCAAGTCACAACTGGTGTCAGACAAGGATGTGTACTGTCACCATTACTTTTCATAACATACATGGATAAGATCACTGTAGAAGCAAACCCAGACGTGTATGCTATAAACGAATTACTTTTTGCTGATGATCAAAGCATACTGTATCAAAATGAATATGATCTACAGGAACATCTGACTACTCTCAACAACAGCTGTTTACAACAATAATATGAGAATCAGTACAGAAAAAACATAGAGAAGTTATGAAGATCAGCAGAACACACAGGCCACTGAATATAAATGTTGGAAGTGCCAAAATCAAGCAAACCAAAGAGTTCAAATACTTGGGCAGTATATTTACAGAGGATGGAAGAATGGACAGAGAGATAGAAACAAGAATACAGAAAGCAAATGCTGTCACATACCAACTATCACCTCTGCTTAAACATCCAGATATAACCATGAAGACCAAAAGACAATTGATAAACACCATCTTCATTCCAACACTCTGCTACCAGTGCCAGACATGGACAATCAACAAGACCCATGAAAGAAAATAGAGCCTGTGAAATGAAATGTCTAAGAAAAGCAGCGAATAAGACCAGACTAGACAGGATAAAGAACATAGACATTAGAAACACTGTCAAAACTACACCATGTTTAGACTACATAGAACATCAAAGAATGAATGGTTTTGGACATCTAACTCAGATGAAAAATGACCAAATAACATCACAAATTTTCAACCAACAGAAGCTCAGGATATAAGGCAAGAGAAGACCAAGAAACGGTGGATTTGACGGGGTTCTCCGAAACCTGCCAAAAGCATGGCCTCAGAACATCAGATGCTGCCCGCCTTGCTTATGACAGGAACTTGCATCTCCCCACAACGCTTAGCGGCATACGTGGAAGGAAAAAGTAAAGTAAGTAAAATAAAGCGCACTTGAATGTTTTTCTCGGTGCAGCAAAACATGCCGTTTTTTGGTGATTCGCCTTTCGCTTCTTCTCCGGATGTGCCCACAAAAGCATCATCTTCTTTGTTTTTATAACTGTTGATGCAGTTTAATCCCTTTACACCGCGGTAAAAAATGTGGTACATAACTAAACGACTAAAGACACGAAAACAAGAATATGCCATACTCGAAAGGTGTGGATGGTTACTAATGTGCTTGTCTTTATGTACAGTGTGTGTCATCATCTGTCTTTCTTAGACAGTGTGTGACAGGGAGAACAGCCACCTCTATAGCTGTTGTTGAAGGACCGACCAGGTGGGGAAAGCACAGACGTGAGACAGCAGAAAACAACCGTTACGTGTGTTATGTAAACTACAAGCCCTAGATGGTTTATCATGTCTGGTTCTTCTCGATGTTTTCCTGCTGTGTTCTTTTGCTGCTTGTTGCCTGTGTTGTACATTTGTGGAGGTTATAGTGGTACACTTTTAATTTTTAACTCTTTAAGTATCAAACAACTCACCATATTTAACTGGATATTAGTAAATATTAACAACTGCATACCCATCAACATATCATTATGTCGCCCAGCTTCTGAGTTGAATGCATGGCGTGACCCTGTGAGCTGCGGATTGCATTTGGAATGTTTTTTCGACTGTGACCAACGGGTTGGTGTGAATTGTAGATTCAGAAAATGGCGCGATGCCTGTCGTGCAGTGTTGTGGTGCCCGTATGTGATTAGAATTGATCGCGTGGGCAACTGCTGATCTGTTGGCGACTTCTGCTACCATCAATGATGAACTGCAATTCTAATACTGTGATAAATATTCTGTGTGTTTTTCGTTGGCACAGGAGCGGAGCAAAGATAGGGTGACCCGTTTGCTATGAAGCTGAAACTAAGACTACAAGACTATTATGTTTGTATATCAAATATATAATCAGGAAAAGAACTTCTAAAGACATATTTGTTTTCTAGGAAGTTAGTTAGTCAACAGGTTATCCTCATCCTTTCGGACGTGGAGCCATTTAGGCCCTACTCAATAAATTCCTCAGCGTGTAACAACTGAGAACACAGGTTCTGTGTTGGGTTTCCTTCTGCCCTTTGGCTTCCTGTCTAATGCTTTTATCTGGTTGCATCTCTTTTCCCTTTTTGTTCTTGCAAAAAAAAAAAAAAAAATGTCATGGGGCATCGTGTAGGTTCAGTCTACGACCTCCTCCAAGGCGGTGATTCAGCTCTTGGTTCTCGTAAATGTATTACTTCTCGAAGAGCATTCAATATATCAGCTTAGTCCATGATTGGTTATTAGTTAGTTAGTTAGGTTATCACCATTGCACTCCTGATATGTTCCTAGGTGCTCAGATCCTCCTATCAGCATCAACCCCAACATCCGATGGCTAATAGTACCAGTTCTGTGTTGATTAACAAGTCTTCTGGTGTGTCTGGTGTGCGTCTCGGTATTTGCTACGCCGATCTGAATTCCCAAGTCTGCCATTCTGGTATGATTAGTGAACCTCATCAACCAGCAAGTCCTTTACAGAACGTCGCTCTCTTCCCGGCACGCCTGAAAGTATCCCTTTCCCTAGCCAAATCTCCAGCCCCATGTGCTTTCAATGCCAATGCATCTTTAATGTCCTGTATCCATCTTCGCGTTGGTCGACCCCTGCCTCACCTTCTTTAAACTGCACCCCCCATTACCGTCTTTTGCAAGCCACTATGACGTTTGATGTGGCCAAAATACTATCGAGTTCGGATGCTGTGTAATGAATGATAGTGAACCCTTCCTATAAAACATTCAGTGTGCTGTGTGTATTTAACTCGTGTGGATGTCTTCTTCTTCTTTTGTCAAAATCTGCTTGTGCTGCTAGGCGTCGCAGTCTCTCAGATGATCGGCAACCGAGCCAGGGCGTGCTCAGTCGCTTTATATGCCGTGATGTTATGAAGTCTCAAGTTGTCCGTGACTCCTTCAATCCATATTCTTCTTGGTCTTCCCCTGCCTCTTGGTGTTTCGATTTTCATCATGTGGATGTACTTTATATAATTATAATTTTGTTGTCATCATTATTTCCTCAATCGATCTCAACTAGATCTCCTGGGACTAAAAGAGTTAATCAGTCGTATGCGCTTCTCTGTCGAGAGTGGTCCTGGTTCAACCCCTGGTCTTCGCAGCGAAGTGGTCAAGCCGTTTGCCACGAGCTCTGATGGTTAAGGGTTCGTTTCACGGACTGTGTTGTTCGGTTCAAGAGTGCAATGTGGGGATCACCGCTGGAGCTACGGAGTTCATGCTTTGTGTGAAGCTATCCGGTTGTTCTGGGGAGGGAAAAGGGAAACCGATCATATGCAATAAAGTGTTTCGGAGCTGTGCGTGCTCGTAGTTTGTGTGCTTGTCTGCAAGGACAGTCTTCTGGGTTAAATCCCAGGTAAAGACAAGTTTTTTTTTTTTTCCACAATACTATTACATTCGCATTATTGTATTAATTTTCCAGTAATTATATTGATCTGTCGTGTGTATAATTCCAAACAATGCTTCTCGACTATAAATGTGAATTATAAACATTAGAATAAATTGCACAATTTACAGTCTAACAAACTGTGCTGTATCTCATTTTGTGAATTGCGACACCATTTACAGTTTACAAAAGTCATAATACTAGGATGTTTATCTAAACATCAAAACGTCTCTTGCTACGCTGTAAATCTTATCAGCTGAAGTCTAAGATTAACCACATACAACAGTCTAAGATGAACCACATTATAGCTACAGCAAAGATTAACCACATGATCGCTACAGCAGTCTAAGATTAACCACATAATTGCTAAAGCAGTCTAAGATTAACCACATAATTGCTAAAGCAGTCTAAGATTAACCACATAATTGCTAAAGCAGTCTAAGATTAACCACATGATCGCTACAGCAGTCTAAGATTAACCACATGATCGCTACAGAAGTCTGAGATTAACCACATGCGGTTATTACGTGTGTTAATATTCTATCTTTACCCTATAACGTTTTTAAGTTTGAAAAAAAAAAACATGAATAGTTGAATACGTAATGTACATGAAAGTGCTGCACTGTTCTACACATATTTCATACATTTTACTTTTAGAGAGAAATAATTGTAAAAAAAAAAATAAAATAAACATTTCTGGTATCTCTGCAGTCATAGCACAGCTTGAGGGCGGAACAGGCGGACTTACTGAAGGAGATTATTATGCTACAACAATTCAAGGTTATTCATCATTCTCATCGTTACCACCATCATCATCATCACCACTACCATCATCATCACCACCACCATCATCTCATCACCATTTTTTTAATCATAATCATCATTACTACCATCATCATTATCATCAGCATCATATCCGCCACCAACATCATCACAATCATCATCATTATCATCATCACCATCGTCCTGTCGTGTCGCGTAGTTGTCACACAGAGCTTACAAACTATTCTTCTATTCTGTGCCATTTTGTACCCAAAAAAAATTTTTTTTTTTTTCCCTGCGAAACACACAAAATGAGTACACTAAAACGTCCAAGATAAAACCCTCAGACGGACGTTAATGAAAGAGGCTAAGAGCGCTTTATTGGATGGAATCCATCCAGGATTTCGAAAATTTTGCACAGGCTAGATGAAGAAAATGTGGACCATATTTGAAGCTAAGATAGTACAACTGAATGTTGATCATTGTTCACAAAATTAACTTTGTTATACGCTTTTCTGCGCTTCTATACTATGTAAATCGCAGTCTTTGAGGAAGACAATATGGGCTTTTGTGGTGAAATTCTATAGAAATATTCTTAGAGTACCATAAGCCGGGAAAGGGGGGGGGGGGGGTGACTTCCTGAAAGATCTGAACATCAAGGAAAAATTGGCTAGTAAAGAACATCTTGTCTCGGATTAAACGCCACGATAAATAGGTTAGAACAATACCTGAAAGCACGATGCCGGGCAAGATAGACATGGATTGACCAGCTCAAAGATGGACCCATGACTTCAGAGACCCATTTGGGCTGGAATGCACATGAGATGGGAGAGCTGGAAAGGGGACCCTTCCCCCCCCCCCCCCCCCCGTTTCCCCTTCCTCTGGCGGACTGTGTTGAAAGCGACAGTCTTTAAAAGATCTGCTTCATAATGATGATGATGCATCGGCGACTGGGTCACCCACAAGCTCGCCGATAAATGACTTCTTCGCCGGTCCAGACAGTTTTGGGTCTGTCTGCTTTGATACATCGATGCATGAGTCCTTTTGGGGGCTTTTTGGTGGCGTGCAATGCTATCCCATTTCATATGTCCCAATTATATCTAAAGATTCCCCTTCGAAACTGTTGGTTCAACGTAACGATTTTGTTAACAGATTTTTGCGAGCAAGACAGCGGAACGGATGATGATAATGTGCTTCCATAAATGACTCGCAACGCCTAAGACACGGACGCCACAGTTGCTGGCATACGTGTGACAAATAAACATCCTCCTTTTTGTTTTCTCACTTTTTCCCCTGAAGGTGACGGTTACTGGGCGCCCTATGGTTACCGGCCAGGATCCGCCACACGCACCAACAGTTGCCAGCATGTCCGTGAAGTGCCGCCACAGTTGCGCTCTGCCAGCGTCCTGAAGCCATTTGGTTTGAGCACCTTCTACCAGAAATACACAGAGGCCTACGGTATTCCTGTCGTAGGTAAATAATCCTTATTTCACACATTTTTACCTTACTTACGTAGTCGATGTAGAGGTTTGTCAGAGAGTTTGCCAGACTTCTCTGTCTGCAGTTTTCTGTATGGCTTTGTTGGCTGTTGTCTTCCAGCTCTTGGCCTCCCATGCCTGCCATGGTGGCCAGGGGTCTCGACTGGCGTGGGCGAGCATGCATATCAACAATCCGCGATCTCCTGCAGCATGGATCAGTTGGTGTGCAGACACACCTCCATGCCATGCAACAAGACTGTCAAGAATCTCTTCTCGTTGTCTTCCTTTATCCCTCCTTTCACAGATCTTTCCAGTGGTCACAACCTGTTCCATTTTCTCTCCTCTCATAACATGACTGAAAAATGCTGACTGTCTCCTTCTAATGTCTGTGATAAGTTGTCTTCGGGCTCCCGCCTCTTTCAAAACCTCTAGGTTGCTCTTTTTGCTGTCCAAGGTATTTTAAGCATTCTTCTGTAAAACCACATCTCTGAGGCCTCAAGAAATTGTTTGGCCTGCCAACCGATTGTACCCAGCACTCACAGCTATATTTAAAAACTAGATGTATGTAGGTATCAAGAATTCTTTGTCTAACCTTCAATGACAGAGATATATTGCATAAGATGTTCTTCATTTTATAAAATGCAGTTTTTTGCCTGCCCTATTCTGTTTCTTATTTCAGTAATGCATCTTCCATCTGATGTTATCCGCGTGCCCGGATACTTAAATTTCTGTACTTGTCCCAAAATAACACCACTGACCTTTATTACACATTTAGGAATTATTATTTTATTTGATACCACCATTACTTCCCGTTATTACACACGCCCGTGGCTCAGGAGGCGTATCAGACTAGGCTAGACTTGAATAAAGTAAAAGTAATAGACCTCGATGAGTGATGGGTCAACATCGCACCGGCTGCCTTCACTTCCCAGGACTTTGCCTCGTACCCATTTGAGGCAGGGTCGATCTGGGAACCGAGGTCATGTAAAAAGAAATTCCGACTCTCGCGACTTTTGAATCCTGAGGGGAGTGTATAACTGCTAAACCACGGCGTCTCCTATTATTATTTAGGTAGGCACAATGTTCCATTGATCTATTTTATTTTTATATTTGAACCCTGAGGGGAGTGAATAACAAACACGTTCTCCTATTGATTTATTTTCATTGATCTATTTTATTTTTCAAGCTCTGCCTGATCTAACGTTCCTTCACTCCCCTGAATACTACAGCAAGCTAAAGTGTCACAGACATCATCTAACTTCCCTTCATTCCCATTATTAATTTAACTAGACACAATGCCCTAATTGCATTGTTCTAGTTCCATATAATCTAACTTCCCCTTTTTCCCGTTAATACTACAGCAAGCTACAATGTCCCAGAATCATCTAACTCACCTTTATTACCGTTATTATTATTGTAGCGAGACACAATGCCCCAATTTCATTGTCCAAACTCTACATAATGTAACTTCAATTCGTTCCCGTTAACACTACAGCAAGCTACAGTGTCCCAGACGATGCACTCAGACGGGCCTGCTACACACTTCGGTTCCTACTAGCCGGCAACTGGGCGGTGAGAGAATCCTTCTACCGTTACTCTGGCCGGGTTGCAGTGATCGGACGAGATGAAGGAACTACAAGTATCCCCGAACACAGCAACTTGCCCTCCTGGTGGAATTTGAGAGCCCGAGGGCTGGGTGCCACACCTCATGCTCCGGTCTCTTCTGGGGGCGAGGAGAATGTGCTGTGTTACAGGCGAGTTCAACATTATGTCATCATCATCATCATGTAGATTGTTCTTTACAGAACGTCGCTTTCATCAGTCTGCCTAAAAGAAACTCCGTCTCTCGCCAACTCTCCGCTTCGTTCTCCTTCGACAGATTGACAACCCCACCAAGACATCACACCGAGCGATAGACAACCGGTGACACAAAGTGTCGTTTAAGGATTACCCGGGGACAAATCTCAGAGACCCCGTTCAACCCGTAAGTTGGTTTATATTAGGGGCCCCGACTTAAGCCGGGATGGGGCCTTTAAATAACGAGAAAGGGCGTCCCATATTGGGACGGTGTTCCCGTGCTCCTTTCAACCCAAGGTGTCTCTTAGGTCATGTGTCCATCTTTCCTGGCACCATGTCTTTGGCTACTATTCTTTCTAATTCACTGTGGACCAAAATAAGTGTGTGTGTATGTGTGTGCGTGCGTGTGCGTGCTTGCGCGCGCGTGTGTGTGTAGGGTTATTCAAAATGATGGACACACTTTCATTCATGCATATTTTCTTGAATACAATATACATTACATATTATTAATATACATACAAGAGAGAGAGAGAGAGAGAGAGAGAGAGAGAGAGAGAGAGAGAGAGAGAGAGAGAGAGAGAGAGAGAAAGAGGTATAAAGTTTCGAATACTACCTCTATGAAAACATCTGACTGATTTGCAGAATCGCATCACAGCTGCAGAGAACTCACTTACACAAAAGATGCTTCTTTACTTTATACCCCCCCCCCTCTCTCTCTCTCTCTCTCTCTCTCTCTTGTAGGTATATTATTATTATGTAATGTATATTCAATGAAACATACTCCTTACAGAGTTTCAATGGTAGTAGTAGTATATTTCTATATGAGGGAACCTCACAGTTACAAAATAACATACAGTCCAGTGAAGAGAGGGTATTTTTGAATAATCATTCCCTTGTGGCAAGATGATTTTTTTCTGAACGAGATCAGTCATGACATTTCTTTTAATGGGCTTCAGGGTAATTTTTTTTTTCTCTTAATGGCTTGACTGACAGGTCGACCCAGCCTTAAATTTGTGTCAGGTACATTCCTGGGACGTAAAGGCGCCCGGTCTGATTGTGTCCGCATCACCGACCTAGTGCCAATCAGTCTATAAAATTGAGGTCTAACCCTATGTGCCCAAACACGCCTGAAGAAACAGCTTGAAAGCAGATCCATCACAGTTTAGTTATTTCTCATCCAAAACAACAACAACCTCAACCCCTTACCCCGACCAAATCCCACAACTGGATCATAGGAAATTTACCTAACCGTGTCTGTGTTTGAAAACCAGCCTGACACAAGACACACTATTATTCACTTAGCTCACGTTACTCTTCACCCTAAAAGGTCGTTCTTTTAGAATTTATTTCTGTGGTTTTGTCTACTTCTATAATTTCCCCAACCTCATAGACACAAAACAAAACAGCATTCCAGCTCATTTGTGCATGTGAGTTTTTGTTTGGTTAACGGAAAAAGGTGCAAGTGATTACAGCAGTCACTGTCGTTTAAAATAAAACATCACAGCAACGGTATCACGAAGGAGAAGAAAAGGAAGAAGGGGGAGGGAGGATGTGGAGGATGCGATGGAAAAAAAAAAGAAGGAAAGGAAATAAGAAGGAAAAAAATGAAGATGAAAAGTGTGAAAAGTGAAGGACGAGGAATAGCAGGAGGAGAATGGGGGGGGGGGAGGAGGAGGAGGAGGAGGGGAGGAGGAGGAGAAGAAGAAGAAGATAAGAAAGAAGAAGAAGAAGAAGAAGAAGAAGAAGAAGAAGAAGAAGAAGAAGAAGAAGAAGAAGAAGAAGAAGAAGAAGAAGAAGAAGAAGAAGAAGAAGAAAAAGAAAAGAAGAAGAAGAAAAAGAAGATGATTATGATAGTAATGATGATGTCGATGATGACGAAGATGATGATGATGAAGAAGGAGAGGAAATAGGTGGAGGAAGAGGGGGAGGAGAATAAGAAGAAGGAGGAAGATGAATGCCCTGCAGGTAAGAAAATATAAAGATATACTGACAAAATGTTGCACATTGAGAATCCTGTAGTGCAATGGCTGATTCCATGTTCTGTTAACCCCACAGGGTCGACAGATACAACAACCAGGACATCCTGTTGCACGAGTCAGCACACGGAGTACATTTATTAGGTCTGTGTTTTATTAAAAATAAACCGAGGGGGAACCCTTCATCATCGCTCATTAGCTTGTCGGTAGACGACTTCGTCGCCGATCGGCACAGAAATTAGGTCTGTTTCCTTTGATCGCGTCAAAACTGCGGAAATCATTTTCAGGGCTTTTGGTGGCGTGTAGTGTTAAGCCATTTTATGTGACGCCCAAAGCCTAGTCATAATTATAACCTAAAGCACCCCCTTCGCGGATGCTGGTTAAACGTGACGATTTTTGTTTTTTGTTTTGTTTTGAGCAAAGCATCGGTTCGGCATCGGGAACCCTTGAAGCAGTAGAACGTTATATATAATAAAAACACAGAAAATATATTGATTGGCAATCACGGAAAGAAGTAGAGAGCTAGAATGACACAATAATAATAAAGGTTAGTTGCGTATCTTTTACAGGACGTTGCAGAACCAACCCCAACAGCCCCCTGGCTGTTGTGTGGTTTTTCTAGGCAAATTTACGTCCAGCAGTTTGCCATTGCTTTCTGGACTGTCAGCTTTCTTGATATCACAGTGACACAATAGACTACATAAAAATCAAAAGCTATAGTTACCGTGTTCTTCTACCTTTTTAAGAGTGCCAATCAATACATTGTCTGTTTGTTAATTACATATACACTGTGTTTAATTGGTTGACTAGAGTCAGTAAACGACCCTTGACACGCCAGGGGTGCCTTGGACATATGCTCGACTCAATTTTGTATATATACCAATAGGCACTTGATGTGGTCAAGATCAAGCCAGCCACCTCTACTTCCCAACACTTACCCGGATTAATGTCCGTACAAAAGATGCTGGTCTCTTCTTCGTCAGTTCCTCTTTTACCGCTTCTGGTGTCGAGGGAAATTTAAGGTTCTTCTTCTTGCATTTCTGCCCGCTTTAAACTTAGACACATCGTGCAGTTGTAGGGTTTCTCTGATGTTATCTTTCCATTAGAATCTTGGTCAATGCTCTTCGTCCATTATCCTCTTCTCGTGTATGCCCTGTATGGTATAGTGTCGCATGGCATTCTCTCTTAAGTGGACAAACCATTTGATTTATTGTCTTTGTATGCAATTTAGAATTGGTTCTGTGCCGACGTTCTCTCTTATGACAACATCATTCCTGATTTTATCTCTTCTGCTCATTCCTGCAGCCCTTTTCATTTCCATGGTTACTAATTTTATTTTCTATTTTGTTGTGAGTGACCTTGTCTGGCACTGGTAGCATAGGGTTGGAATGAATATGCTTTGTATGAGATGTTTATCTGTGCTGACTGGGATTCTCTCTATCTGTGATCAGAAACAAAAACGGAGGCACGGGCGAATAAAATGAGGATGGTATTGAGTTAGAGAAACATCTGGTCAAACAGTTAAGAACACTGGGCTCTTGTATTTTTCCTAGCTATGCGGCCCTAAATCCTCACACACAAAGACCTCCATGCCAATACAGCAATAACAAAGACCTCCATGCCAATACAGCAATAACAAAGACCTCCATGCCAATACAGCAATAACAAAGACCTCCATGCCAATACAGCAATAACAAAGACCTCCATGCCAATACAGCAATAACAAGGACCTCCATGCCAATACAGCAATAACAAAGAGCTCCATGCCAATACAGCAATAGTGATACATACAGGCAGTAATGGAAATGTGTGTGTGTGCGTGTGTGGTGTGTGTACGTGTGTGGTGTGTATGTGTGAGAGAGAGAGAACTGCAGAAGGTAGCGACAGACAGAAAAACTTTGCGCGTGTTGAATGAAGGTATAAGTCTCAGTGGGTAATAATGGTACTGGAATTGAAGTGTTTTAACCCTTTCTCACGTCCTTCAGGTGTACTTGTTATAGAGTGCTAAATCTATATTTTATAGACCAATCGGCATTCGGTAGGTGTTGTGCTCAACATAACGCCGGCTACCTTTACTTCCCGTGACATAACCTGGTACCCATTTAAGTCTGGGTCGACCCGGAAGGTAATTTAAGAAAAAAAAGTATGACTCTGTTCCGATTTGAAACCTAAGACTCATGACTGACTGACTGACTTTCTACCCCACCAGGACATCACACAAGCGATAAACACCCGATGACACAAAGTGCCACCATGCGGATGAGGATCACCGTGGAGAGGTCCCAGAAACCGCGTTCAGACAATTGGCTATATTGATGGCCTGCCTATATTGCGGCCCCTGGCAAAAGCCAGAGTGGGGCGGATGCTCATGTAGCATCTAGCCGTCACACCACGACGGTTCTTCCCCCCCCCCCCCCCCAGGCTGAATGGATGTAAATACCACCTGTGTTCTATATGGTCTGTCAGGGGCAGCACATGGGATTGCAGGGTGGGATCAGCGCTTGAGGAGTCTGTTCAACGAATCCAAGTCCAGAGGTTTGTGGGCCAACACATACAGCATGACCTCACCAGAGGAATACTTTGTAAGTGACCGAAATGCCTTGGTTGTGTTTGTTGGTAAACTGCTAGAATACTGACAGACAGCGAGTGCGCAAAGGAAAGATGCCAGTGTTAAGGCATGGGCAATTCGCAGGTGTAAGCGTCAACAGGTAACGATTACCCAATAGAGGGTATCGCTTGATATTTTTCTGTCTCGTCGCTTTCATTTTAGTAATGGCAACTGGTAGCTTTCTACATGAGCATGCAGTAAGCGTGATTTTCGCTTTGTTGAAGACCTAAATAAATAGCTTTAAAAAAGTATTTGGCAATGGAAAGTGTAAGAGGGCGATTACTGACGTTATACTCACCTTTGGAATATACACAAGAAGCAGAGAAAAATCCATTTCTAAATGGACGGCAATGGGGTTCGAAAAATAGTCTCA